GAGGCATATTCTAAAACAGGTCTAATCTTAGTGATGTAAGTTGTAAGACCAATGTCCCTGGGGAGATGGGCTGTTCTACAGACCCTAAGATAGTGGATCCGTTTACACGCTTTGCTGACAATACTTGAGACATGTGTATTCCACTTGAGATCGTTCTGTACATATACACCCAGTAGTTTAAACTCTGAGACTCTCTCCAGTTCAGTAGGCCCGATATTAATAGGAGCAGGAATTGGACAGGACCTCTTGAAGGTGATCCACATATCTTTGGTCTTTTTAGCATTCAGCTCCATTTTATTCTGCACAGCCCATCTTTCCATCTTTTCCCCATCTTTTCTCGAGGAAAACAAGCAAAAAATGTTGATGTATTTTACAGTTGACCAGAAGAAAATGATACTGATTTTAATGGCAGCCTTTTCTTGGGCATGTTGTAGTGGCTTGCATCCAATCAATTAGATTATGATTCATTCCAGAGGTTTCCCAAACTCACATGATGAGAGTGGATGTGAGTTATTAAGTTAATAAATTAAATTATCTATCCTCCTATTCCTTACTTTTTATGCTTCAGATGCACCTGTTGATGTTTCCCATGCACCTGAAGATGCCAAAGAGATAGCCAAGAAGCTCATTGCCTCGGGGGTAAATTAAGCCTGCACTAGTATGACTATGGAAAGCACCTGAAGCGGGGGACTCCCATATAAAAATGACAGGGAGGCTCATAGTCTCGCTTTAATTTTAGGGGTGTAAATTGCAGATTTTGGTCTCTCCTAGGGTGTTTAGGACAGAAACTAACTATTTTTGCACATTTGGGTATTGCTTAGTGCTGTGACACTGGCCACACAGAAATCGAATGTTTAAAAAGGAACACAACATTCCCTGGCACAACACACTCTAGCTCTTATTTACATGTCTGTTTTAGTATGGTATCCTGTAGAGGTCAATTTACCCTTGCACCACACCCACATTGGTTTCCCTTAGAAGTTTAGTTTTAATTTTCCAATGAGAATCTCTGTCACATTTGTATGGGAGTCCCTCCCCCTCTCCCGCCTTCCCGAGGGAAAAACAACGCAACTGTATCATTGATTGGCCAGTTTTTTTCTGTCAGGCATCAAGTTTGAATAGAATATTGTTCCAAAAAAATGAACCAAAATGCATTGATCGAGAAAGCCTGGGAAGACGCTGTACAGGGACTAGGCAAAAGAAAACCTAATGATGTTAATAAGTATTAGAGAATAATAGGGGTGAAAGCACTAAATAAGTGAAAGGCCTGAGTGAGCCAGGGCATCAAAAAATAATTTATTGCTTTCTTTATTAACCCAGGATAAGGAGAATGATCTGTTGGACTTCTCTGTTTCCACCGCATAATAATAAAGCGAAGGCTCCATGCAGAAAGTACCATACCCATACATAAAGGAAATGAGACGGCCAGGAGATGTTTTTCATGGAATTTGGAAGCCTTTTTAAAAATGCTCATAGCCACCTGCCCTTTTATGATAGCCCTGTTACTACAATGATCTAGATTACAATCCAGAAAGTTTCAAATACCGGTATATCAAGTTAGTAATATGTACAATATTAATAGGCAAAGAGACTGAAGAAACTAGTCTGCTGTGTACAGCAGGAACTGATATCCTCTTTGTATGTACAGTACCTCTTGATTCCACACCAATTGTGTGAATCCTTATCATGATTCAAGTGCCCCTAAGTGGGCTTCATTTCAGGGTTGTTACAAATTTAAGGCCAAAACCAACAGTTATCTGAAATTGTGTTGGTTTTTTTTAGGAGGTGAAGATTAAAAAGGATCCTGTTCACAGAGAATTTAAAAGAGCAAAAGGCAGTGAAAGGAGGCCAAAGGTAGACATAATTATTATCAACTGCTGTCCTAGCATTGCCAATGTTGTCTTTGGCATTACATCTGTACTATTATCTAGAATGACCATAAACTGCCAATTGTGAGCCCTGGGCTTATATACAACTTCTCAAGGGGTTTGAGGAAGGCTTATGTACAGATAGCCTGCGAAAACATCTGTTTCTCCTTGCTCCTCGCCGCTTGGGACGTTTCGCACAGAGGAACATCTGTGACTCAGCAACAGAAATTCCATACTGATGACGTAAATCAATGTTTACATAATAAATCTGGTAGTCATGGGGTTGCAAAATTAAATACAAGTTTGTCCAATTTTAAGTGTTTTCTGGTCGATTTTGGTAAAGTGTTGTG